TGGGCGGGCGGGCGGGGAAGCGGCGCCCCGCCCCGGCCTGCCCGGCCCCCGCCCGGCATTGCCGTACCTGCCTGAGGATGCTTACCAGGTGAGGATGCTGCGGCCGAGGCGGGCAGCGGAGGCAGAGCCCAGCCCTGGAGACACGGGTCTGGGGGTGGATGCCATCTCTTCCACTAGCGTCAGCAAAGAAAACAGAACAGGTGAGTGCTCACCTGCTTCCATCCCTGGGCTGAGGACACAGGCAAGCACGGTGCTTTTTTTAGGCCAGCTGGTGTCCTCAAAGAAAATAAAACAGGCGAGTGCTCACCTGCTCCCATTTGTGTTACGGGGGTGTTGGTTGTAGCCGGGTTGGTCTCAGGGCACAGCACGTCTAGCCAAAAGAACCGTGCTTGCCTATCTTTTGTTAGACCGAGATAAAAAAAGAGATCGCATCTACCCCAGGAGGCTTGCCTGTCCATTCCTGTTAGCCATCTCTGCAAGGGAAGTGAAGGGGTGCTCCTGAGGGCACCAGGCTGTCTTTGAAGTCATCCTGCTTCCTTACCCAGTGATCAAACACCGTGCCAGGCAGCCCCGGGGAGTTTCTGAGGGCAATCAAATAAAAAGGGGGTAGAAAGGGCTGCTGCATGTCCAGGAGAGGAGCATCGGTGTGGGGGAACAGCCAAAGGTCACAACACTGGAGCACGAGCGGGGATTTTTAGGAACAAGAAACCCCCAAATAATCCAACTTCAGTCTGAGCGACTGCTACACACGTGCATGCATATGCCAAGGAAAACGGGGGCTGTATAACAGGCCTCCACATGTTTAAGTAAAATATACAGGTTCCAAAATCCATGTGATGAACTTAACTTCCCTAGAAACACTCACCGTACAGCCTCAATGGCCTTGCTTTGGTTATCCAGAGAAGAGAACTGGCGACAAAAGGGCGCTCAGAGGGTCAGGTGGAAGCCGCGTACAGGGCGAGCAGGGGGATTTTGCGGGAGAAGGAAGCAGGTTTGGAGGCAGGCACGTACCTCTCCTCCCCGGTACTCACTATGCTCCCCTGTGCATCAGCCCTGGAAGAGATTGCACCCCCTCCAGCCCCTCGCTGCAAACTGGGCATTGGGGTTCAGCTCTAAAACCTGAGGGCGGACTTCAACCCCACCACGGCTGAGCAAGTGGACCCCGCCAGGAATGAAGGGATGAGGAAGAGGAAGCAGGCCCCTGGCCCCCAGGCAGCACGGAAAGGAGGGAGCCAGAGTGGAGCCTTCCTTGCTGGTGTGAAGATGCTTTGACGGTACCTGCCAGGCTGACGCTTCCCCGCCCAAAGGGAAGGTGGCCCCTTTTCAGTCTAAAGGGACAGATGAAAGCAGGATGGAAAAAAATGCCTCTGATCAACAGCAGGAGGGGGAAGGACTGGACACCCAGCATGGACGTGGCAGGTTTCAAAAAGACTTTCCAGCTGCCCCTCCTGCAGGCCATTCGCATTCGAGCCAACTCCCAGAAACCCTTATCCCACTAGCCCCTTAAGTGGGAACGCCCCAACGTGCCCGACCCCGTCTCAGGCCTGCGCGGGGTCTTTGCTCCCCCTCTCCTCCAGAGGCATCTCCTGCCAACACTCCTCATCTTTGCAGCTGCAGGCAGCGCACCTTGCTTCAACGCAGATGCGGCGATATGCTCTCATCAGCTGCTGTAGCAAGTCCAAGAGTTTTGTTTCATAGGGATAAAGTCTGAGAGGCAGGCTGTTGAATCAAGGACAACCACTGCTGCTTTAGGTTTAAACAATGTGATATTTTTGGCAAAAAGATGCAAAACTGCTTGGATACAAGAACTCTACTTACAGCAGATATATTCCTAAAAGACTCACCTCTATCAAGAGTAGCAGGCGAGGCTGTCACAGGGCACCTGCCAATCCGAGCCACTCATCCCTGATCAAATCTTTGATGTGCAACAATCATTACAACGGAGATGAGGACCAAATAAAACTCGAAGAGGAACAAAACCAAGCTGTATTTTACACACCTGTTTCCCAGGCAAGTGCCAGGACCCCCCCCCCCCCCCCCCCCCCCCCCACCCAGCCCAGCCCCAGTTGCACCACAAATTAATTCTAGAACAACACAAAAATATACACATGGAAGCAAAAGCTTTCACTATATCCTAGTCCACAACACACACGGTCAAATGCAACAGATGATTTTACCACTCCAGTCAGCAAGTACAAAACAGATACAGTCCTTCAAGGTGGAGACGACTTTTCATTCGAAGGAGGATCACAAGAATTCAAGTGAGCCTCTTCGGGTCAAAAGGGGCCCTGATCACAAGTCTTAAAAAAATTATATGCAAGTCATGAAATAAGACAACTTCAAGGCAGCCACAAACACACAGATCTGTGCTCACTAAGAATCCCTCCAGCTACAAGTAAGATTTTTCCAACTGTGCTTGGAGAAGCTACTTCCACAGCATTTGTAGTGGGAGAAGCAGCTTCAGCTGTCAGAAAGCCTAGGCCTTGTAATGGCTCTAATTAATGAAGCTTCTTCCTTTTTCAACTGGTCTCTTGGACTGTTTTCACCATGTTGTCTTTGTTCTACTGTGGTGTTCAATGACATAACCCTAAAAATATTGCATACATTACAGGCATTTTAAAATCAGAGTTGGGGGGGAAGTGTCTTTTTAAGTAAAAAGTTAGTTATTGAATGTCACAAAACATCCAGTCGACTAAAATCTTCCTTCTTCCCAGACATGACCAGGGCTCTATCCTGTTGACAAAGGCAGTGCCCATCTACCCTGGTCACACCAACACACAACTGTTCTCAGACCCTCCTGTCACCCCACAATTCCCTGTCTATCAGTGATGTTCATCACCATCTCCTTGACGAACTCAGCCGCAGGGAAACACCACCAGGCAACTGAAGAAGAGGGTGATAAGAAGGGACCCCACCTTAGGGAGGACACCAAAAGGGAGACCAAGTTGGAAACTGAACAAGCAACACTCACAGCTCCAAATCTGCAGAATGGGTGCAGACAAAAATCGAGTGGCAATGCCAATCACAGCTTGGCACTCCTGCCCCCACCCTGGCACTTTTCAGTACAGATGGATCTAATGTATGCCAGAGCAACGCCTGCCTGTAGTGCCATTCCTGGAGTGGGGAAAAACTGACTCTCCTTGGGGGTTTTTTCTGGAAAACCCAAGGTTCCTCTTGTTCCTACCCACTCCCTTTGCTTGTTCTATGTTACTGTGCTGCTATCACAGGTGAATGTGTTGAAAGCACGGAAAGCAAAGAGGCCAAGTCCTGCCACGGTGACTGACAGAGCTGAAGGCAGCATGCTCTAGAAGGTATTTTTAATCTTGGCTGCCACAAGCACGAGGATCTCTCCGATCTTCTTCTGCCAGTTCTCGATGTCTTTGGACATTTCACACCACAGCTCTCCGTGGCGGGGCTCGGCATTCTCGCAGCGCTTCTTCACCTCCTCCTGCTGCTCCTACAGAAGGAGAGAAACAACAGTTTGGGGCTGTCTTGATCGCTTTGTTCTGTCCTCAAGCAGAGCAAGGAAGGTCAGAGACTTTCCCCACCATTCCTCCTTCTGCACCAGTGCGGTGTGCTGGGTGTCAGGTGCTTATATAAACCAGTTTTTAAAGGGAACTGGGAAGTGTGTGTTAAAGGATGAGATGAAAGTTCAAGAAGGGCAGCACCTACTCTGCCTTGCTGCAGGCCAGCGTAACACCACAGCCCAACAGGAGAGCCAAAAAAAGGTTTGGAAGCAGAAGAGCAGCTGGGGCATATTACACCACCATGTCAGGAGGAAGTCATCTCCCTGAAGTCATGAAATAATGTCTCATCTCAACTCAATGCCAGGCTGCTCTGTAACCCTCCCAGATCAGACCAAGCAGTCCAGCTGATCTGCTACAAGTAGCAATGCACACTAGATGTTTCGGAGGACGCACAAGGCAACAGCAACCCTAAAGGAACATTATTTCTAATAGGATGGCTTATATGCCTCAGGAGTTTCTCTCACTGATTTTTATGTGCTGCCAACAACAGTGTTGAATTATTTGCAGTGGAGACTTCTGTGACACAGTGTCCTGGTGGACTGTGCAGTCTTTCATAGAGGTCACTTGCCACCGAGTCCAGCAAACATACTTGAGATAGTACTCAACTGTTCTCACATTATTGCAGAATTTTTATTTTCCTGTATTTTATTTCCCCACACTCTGCTAGTTAGTGGGCTGAATAAAAAAATCCTAGGGAATGTGTTGAAAGAGAAGCGCTTACTGCACATTGCGAATAGCAGCAATTTTTGTTGCTCGTTAACAAGCAACAAGAATGGGCTTTGAAGACGCGGCTGTCTGTAGCCAGCAGAGCATGGGCAGAGGTGGCAGTGATGTGTTATTCCCAAGGTCACAGTTTCAGCCTAGAGGCAGACACTTACCTCGGTGCCGTGCTGAAGCTCAAATTTGTAAAAGAAAGCCCAGGCATCCCCCAGATCCGAGTCGATCTTCACTGTTCGATGGAACCATTCCCGGGCCTTGGTTATTTTGCGCTCGCTCCAGAACAACCTGTTGTAGAAAGGGAAGAGGGGAAAAAGCAGAAAGAGGTGGTCAACAGCCCTGTGTCTATCTGCAGAAGGGCCTCCCCAGAATAAAGGAGGCAGCCTTGCAGATGGCTCTCTTTCTCTGAAGAGGTGGAGGAGGAAGTACAAAGGCGAGTTCCAGACACCCATCATTTCCACACTGTTTTACTGACTACAAGACTCAACTGATGCCCTAGCCAAGGAAACGGGTAGAGGGTAGGAAGGAAAATTAGATCTTCCTAGGACAGATGCATCATCTTCCTACTGCATCTCATTCATTTTGATGCAATGAACCAATTTTGGAACAAAGCAGTATTGGGCCCTGTCCATTCCCCTCACCCCCCACTTGCTCCCAAATTCTTAATAGTTTATATTTAACCTCACAGCTCTCAAACTACATAAGCTCTGTAGATATTTGCAGGTTAAATCCCCCCTGCCCCTAGGGAAGGTTCAGATTCACCAAGGCTGAAGCAGCACCCATCATTTCAGGCCATCAACACGCGTATATTCAGGCACCAAAATACTAACATCTGCTGGAACACAGCCCTGCCCTGCCAGTGGGGAATGGGCAAGAAGGGGGAGCACAAACTTCTGTGCTTATGCTGCCCATCGCCATTTCTAAAATTCACTCATGAATTTCAAAACACCTCCCGCCTCCCAAGACCCAACTGGCTGCGTCAATACTTTATGGGTTTCGTTTCTACACATCTAATAGAGTTCAATTAAAACGAGCGAGGTCTTTTGCAACAGGAGGCTGTCGGATTGGCTGTGCAGTTAAGCTGTACAATTTAACGGTGTAATAATATGATTTTTTTTAAGGTTTATAATACTCCTGATTATTCAGTGTTGGATAAATTGTGATTTAAAGAGCTTGGATGCTGATAGCAAAGCAGACCAAACACCTGCAAAGTAACAATTGGCAGCAACTTCTTTGCTTTTAAACAAAAGCTCTTTGCAAACTCATTATACCCCTGCATATCAGACTGCTATGCAGCAGAGGTACCAAGGGATGTAGAAGCCATTCATATGCCATCTGGTTTAATTGCTAAATAATCTGAGTTGCATCAGGTATAGGCTCTGATAAGCGTATTACAGTTCTTTCTCCTCTGCTGCTAAAGCCAAACAATGGAGCTGTCACTGTCTGGAAGACCCCGGTGCTGCAGTTGCTGGAGTGGATCCTGTGACTTGCTTTGGCTTGTAACAGAGTTGTGAAAGAGTTGAGCAACCACTTGACATGTTTCCTGCATGAACCTCTTCTGGCATTCACAAAGGGAGGAAATTAAAAAAAAGTCACCCAGTCCAAATCCCAACCAGTCAGTCCTGCAGTGGGTAAAGTCTTTCAAGTATAAAACAGGAGACGTATGCCATAGCAGATTCCAGCACTAGCTCTTTGCCACCAGAAACCAGCACTTAAAACCTTTTCTAGGCAACAAAAGGAAGTTACTTTTTAAGTCCATTAGGAACTAGGACATCCTCCTGCTTCACAATAGCATCAGTGTGATTTGAAACAGCCCCGAACTTAAGCCACACAGAGTGGCAGAACATGAAGATCAAGGTGGTTCTCACGTTCCCAGAAATTAGGGAGCAGAAGCAAGATATGAGGAATTAAAACAGGGCCCGTCGCAGCAATCTGGGCACTAGTCAGCATAAACAGGCCTCCCTCCATCCCTTTTGTAGGTCTGAACGAGTTCCCTTGAAAGCCAAGGTAATGACAGCTTGACAAAATGTGCATCAATAAGTTATGGGCCAAGGGGCCCTAAGTAACAATGTTTTCAGTGTTCACAACATCTGGCTCAGATCTGTTTTAGCACTGACACACACACGCTGCTGCACCCCCAGGTCTCCCAACTGACATGGGTACTTGGAAGAGACAGAGCGTTCATGTTCAGCCAACAGGAAGAAGCAGATCTGCACCAATACTCAGAAGGCAGCTGCAGTGAAGGAGCAGCTGTTCCCTGATCTGAGGTACATAAAAATGAGACTGGAGGGGCCCCCTGGGACATCAAGGCCAGTGCCCTGCATTCACACACAACCACGTAGGCAAATGATCCAGAGGGATGCTACACTGAAGCAAGACTGAGCAGTGCTATCTGCAGTAGTGTCGGGTATATGTCCTTTGCTTGTGCACAAACATCTTTTTATTACCTTAAAAAGCCCATCCCGAGTTACTCACTTAGCCACAGCCAGCAGTACGTGTGGGTCATGTTCGCACTTCTTCAGAGCATCCACACTTTTGGTCTTCCGTTGAGGTCTTGCCTCCAGGAAAATTGCTTCTGACCAAAGGATTCCTTAAAAAACAAGTGGAAAGATTTCGGCTTTCATTAAGTCAGAGATTAAACTCCATGCTGCTGAGAGTACCTATACCGGGGTACTGCTTTCCAGAGAGGGACCCTCATTCCCCCCAGCCCAGTAGAAGGGCTCACTCCCCTCTTTGGGCTGAACTCTTCCTCATTTTACACTCTGCAACACCAGCTGCTGCTCCCCTCACCACACAAGTGCTTCTGCTGCAGGTACTCTAAGCTCCTGCCTTTGGTACTGCTTATGCTTTCTTGCATTAGCCCAAAACTCATGGTTTTCAGCCCAGATCACTGCACCATCCCATTTGTGTAGTGAAGAGTCATCCTCAAAAGTCTGTACAGAACCTATACATCACACAGTACAGATGACTGCGGCTATCAGGTGGTTACTTTGTCTGCCACCAACACATACCTGCAAATGCCTTCTACCAACGTGAATCCAGCAAGCAAACATTTTATTGTACCAAAGAAGCTGCACACACCGTCACCAGGCTAATACAGTTAATCTGCAAGTGCCAGAAGGGGAAAGCAGGCTACAGCATCCTTGTGGCTGGCCTGAAAGAATAAGCCACCCAGGAATCTTTCACTGCTCTTCCTGCACTTTATTCATTTCCAGAGAGCGCTGCCAACTAATTATTAGAAACAAGGCAGCAATTACTTGAAGGGCAATGTGTTCCCTACCCACTTGTGACCACGTCATTGCTAGCAAACTGGCTACAGAAACTCAGCGACTGATCAGGATCACAGTGTTACCAAATCTCTCAGAGCGCCAGGAGTAAAACTCTTCCAGATGTAAAGTGTAGAGAGTACAGGACCCTTGTAGGGTCTTACACCTATCGTAACCATCAACTCTTCTTTCTTCCATGATCAGGAACTCCTACAAGAAAATCCCCAAGAAAGTACAACAACATCAGGAAGCAACCTTAAGAGACTCAAGAGGGATACTGATGTCACTGTTGCCAGAGAAGGGACTGGTCATGCTAACTCCAGGGAACACTACTCCAAGTGCCCACAGAAACATAAGGTTGCCTCCCCAGAGCTTCTCTCATCGCCCAAAGCCAATAAGGAAGCCTGCTCAAAGCAGCATGAAATCCTCTGCTTTACCAATCGTGCCTGGCAAACACATTTCAACACAGAGGCCAATTCCATCAGTGCACCAGTTTCTTATACGTGGCACCACACATATGGACAGTTTGGATTTCGCTAGCAATTTAGTAAGTGATTTTATCTGCAGCTCTGGTTCCCCAATCTGTCAGCCGCCTGAGGGGTCCCCATGGCAAGTCTGCTTGACAAGAGGATAGTCACCCCTATTTCCCACTGCTACTAAAAGGATCAACGTTCCTCAATGAACACAAACCCCGAATCATCTCCGGAAAAGTCAGGACCAGCCATCTCTACAAGAGCCCGATTCTTCAAAAGCAGCCGCAGAGAGAAACGAGAGATTCAACAGGAATAAGGCATCCGAGTCCATGCCCATGGGAGCAGAGGAAGACAGGACTGGTGCTTCCAGGAAACACGTGGAGAATCAGACAACATGAAGAGCAGAGCATTAACAAAGCACAAAAAAGCCCTAAAAAGAAAAACTTCCATCTTTCAAGATTGTGTGCACAATTGCCACAGCATTGCTGCTGAATCAGGAATAGGAAGGGAGGGAAGTTAGGAAAAGCTGTCCAAAAACACAGCTTGTCCAGGCTACAAAGCTCAGAAGCCCCTAATCCAGCAGGCTGAACTTGCAGATGGAACCAAGGAGACCCATGCCCTTAGCCCAGCTGTCCCTGACCGCTGTTACAGTGGGCAAGTCCCTTGCACTGCCCATGTTCCCTGTCTGTTAAAATAGGGATAATCTTTCCTAGGCTCATGGAGGCACTGCAAAGCTAAGCATATATGGGAATGCCCAAATACTAGAACAATTGAGAGTCTTATAAAGGGGTATAAATCAAGGAACCATGCTCTCAAAGGCAAGTTGAACTTAAAAATCTCTAGCAAGCTCCCTTAGCATGGGAATTCTGCAGCAGCTTTGCATACATGAAAATGGCTATTTCCACAACAGGAATCAGCAATGAAAGAGTTAGCATTTTAATCGTCACCCAAATTCAGATTTCATACTCCTCTATTAAAATGATTATTTCAGGCTGGCAAGGATGTACACACTGCATGCGATTCATGCTTTCAAAGCTCTCTACAGCCTGTCAGGACTGGGTGCCTTTCTAAAAAGATATGCTCCAGTTCAAGCACGAGTTGCCAGGATCAATGAAGCAGTCAGGAGATGAAATTCTATGGCCCATGCTAGCTCGTGTCAGATGGAATAGCCCCTTCTACCCGTAAACTATTAACCAAACAGAGTTGGAAGAGAGTATGTTGTTTAAATGAAAACAGATCCTACAGCACATTTCCATAGAAACAGAGAGAGTCTGCAGCAAGCTGTGGCAGCAAAGGCACACACAGGCCATTCATAAAATAAATTAGCAGAGCGTGGTTTGCGATACACGACTAACTCTATAGTCCAATACTGCACTACATTGAGGAGCTTGCGGCAAGTCTCTCAAGGCACTACAACCTGGATTTTCAGAAGATATCTAGACACTTAACTCCCAAAGGTTTCAATTGAACTTGGGTGCTTAAACAATTTTAAACCTCTGACAAGCCAAGAGGATGATTTTTAATTACCTTGCATTTCTGTGATGACAGCTTTTCTCCAAGGATCTCAACACGTTTTAACAATTAAACCTCCCAGTGTTCCTATGACACAGGCAAGTCTCAAGCCAGTTTTTATAAAACAGGCCAAAGGAGGAAGTATTCACCAGTTCAGACTGGTTTAGGGTTGGACTTAACCAAACTTGCTGTTAAAAACTAAATTATGTGTCCCATTCCCCACCCCCAGCCGCTGAACCTTTTTGGGGCATAACTAGCTGATCTGCTCCAAAAAGTCTGCTATGAATACAAAACTTTTAAAGCCCTCAATCAGTTCAGAGGCATAAAGCCTAGAACTCAGAGGCAACTGCTACAGTATTTTTTCCAAAGAAACAAAACTACTAAAACAAATCCATATGAAGGACACGGACCCAATTAGCGGACCCTGGCAACAAGGAGACAGGAATTGATACGAGAAAATCTTATAAATGCACAGCTGATCATGACACAAACAGAAATCCAACAATCCTTCCACTAAATCATGCCCCACTGAATTGTTCCAGACCACAAATTGCCTTTGTTAGCTCAGAAAGCCTCCTACAATCTGCTTCGTCTCTTCTCAGAGAAAAGCCACCCACATCAATATGCAGTCTCAAGAAACCAAAAACCATGGACAGGGACATATGTCTGACAATATAATCCAAAGAACACCAAGGGAAAGAATTATCCAACGACCAGTCCAGGCCCTTCTTGACAGTGGAGAGTGAAAGCCACCTAAAACTGAAGCCCTTTTTGCAGGACTACCACCCCCTCCCTAGAGCACATCAGAATCCAGCCAGGTCATGAGACAACACAGCTGGCAGAAACAGAAGAAACAGAGACAGATGAAATGCTCTCTTGCCATCAAGACAGTTTGCCCTATATCCTGTTTCTATTTACACATGGAGTTTTGTGCAAGCTCTTGTTCCGTGCCTGCTTCTCCCAGAGCCTGGGGAAGTGTACTGTGATACCTGAAAGCTGGCCTATTCTCTATCCTAGCCATGCAGTTGATCCAGAAAAGATAAATCACCCGTGAGAATTTTTGCAATCAAGCAATTACAGCTGCATTTCAGAAAAGCTCCTTCTTACCCGAGTTGGGACATTCTTGTAGAGCCTTGGCCATCAGCGTATTGGCGATGTTCTTCAGTCCAGCCCTGTATTCCAATCGCACAGACTCTAACCTGATGTGGAAAAGACCCAGCGTGAACACCCAAGATGTGACCTCAATTCAGCATTTCACAAAGCAGATGCTCACTTACAGGACATGGAACCTAAGAGACATCTGCCATGACTCATCCCTAGCTCATTCAGCTAAACACGTGCAGTAGGAAACCATGGCAGGCTATTTAGCAAAGAACAGCAGAGTAAACGGCTGCCACAATTTTCTCATTCTGGCATTAAAAAAAAAATAATTATAAATGTCTTCAACAATCATCCTAGATAAAAGCATTTGAAGAGGGGACTAGCCAAACGTAGAAATGGAAAATGAGGTTTTCAAAAATTCTTTTCGATTACCCCAGAGCTGCCATTTAAAGAAAATAGCTGACAATTACCCATATCCCCAAAGCAAGTAACACAAAGGCAGTTATGTACTAGTTGGACCCTTCAGAGGGCTGAAGATGTTCAAAAGGAAGCAAGCATAAAGCCATCTTGGAATTTCCTTCTCGCTAGGTATAGAGACTCCATACTCGGACAGCTGGAAGGGTGTCAAGTGATTAGCATTGCTATGGCACTGCCTATACAGCTCGTGGAAACTCCACTCCACTCACCAAAGGTCGGGATTTTTCGGATTCTTTAAGCGGGACTTCTCCAAGATGGCTCTTGCTCTGGTCAGTTGCCCAACTTTCTCCTCCAGCCTTGACAGCAAGAGCCACAGGGGGATGGAATGGGGACATTTCTTCAACTGTTAAGAGAAATGTGCAGGATGGTTGGGGAAGAAGAAGATAAGGAGTCTGCTGTTTTACCTGCTTTTTGCACCAAGGCTGAAATAGTATGATAACCTCCCCAGAGGGCAATTCCCTCATGTATCCCTTTTCTCTGCAAGACGTGTAGAGAGCACGAGACAGGAGGTTGGTTACATCATCTGATGTTTCTCACATTCTACCTGGCTACTTCTCGGATAGCAGTTAACTAGAGAAAACTAGCCTGTGTTTAAGTTCAAGAGAAATTAAAGGGGCCATTCAGTGTTGTGAACTGCACCTTGGTTCATAAGTACATTTACAATTTGTGCTCTCTGCCTGGAGATGGAAAACCTTTGGACTGTGCATTGAGACAGACCAGGTCATGCCCCCAAACCAGATGTATGAAACAAACCTCAATCGTCTTACCCCTTGATTATAGGCTTCTCGAGCCTTTTCGGTTAGTTCCTTTTGCTCCTCTACCTGCCCTTTCATCATCCACAGTTTGGGGAAGTCTTCATAGTGCTTCAGGGCTTCCTCACAGAGTTCCTGGGCAGCAGCAATGTTCCCCAGCACCCATTCTAATTTCACAGACTTCATGAAGACCTAAGGACAAACCAGAAGATGCTTTATTTTAGCAGCTACTGATGGGCTATGGTATCTGTTAATAGAATGGATCTTTTGTCCTGTCAACAGACAAACAGCCACTGCATGCCTAGATGACAAATAGTCTGAAGATATGAAAATTAAAGCTAAAAGAAGTGGCAGCTGGAAAGTGCTAGAGATCAACTGTTAAAGGAGTTGGAACAAAATGATCAAACATAACCTTTGGACCCCAGCTGCAAGTAAGAGGGTGGACCACAGTATTCAGAAGTGCCCGACACAAACATTTAGGCAGCTGCATATCCTGTGAATATGGGTTTGCTTGTTCTCTTTCCCACAACATCCACCTCTTTTCTTTTTCAAGGTACTCATACTTTAAGACCTCCTTCCCCTTCCTCCACACACAAGATTCTGGATTGCTGCTACCATCCCTCTAGCTGAGAACAGGAAGGTCTCTCTTTTCTTTGTGGTCAAAAAAGCCAAACGAGCCATTACCATGCAAAAGCAGGTCAAGGCTGAGAGGGACTTAGATGAAACAAAATGCAAGTTGCTTAGACACTTTGTTTCCTCCTTTTAGCCTAAGTAACGCAGACGTAAAAGTTTCAGAAGCTCAACTGCCAGGGGAAGAGAGGAACAGGGACCAATGTAAAAAACAAAAAAGAATTAGATGTTTTTCTAGTGTGAAGTTTTGACTCCTTTCCCCCCAGGAGATAAGATGAGAAACATACAGAGACCTGGAATTTTACATGACAAACTACAGTTGTTTTGCCATTTGAAGTTATATGCATTAGTGAGCCTCCTGTGACAGGATTTGGTAAAGGAAAAAAAAAAAAAAGCCAAGCTTTAAACTGGAATTTTTACATACTGGGAATTTCCCAACTTTTTCCACTGCATAAAAATCTAAGCTTGTATTTGATCTTAGGTTTTTTTCCCATAATACATTTGCTTCATGTCACAATGAGCTGAAAAAGCACTTCAACAGTCAGCCACATGCCTGTGAAAGGCAATGGCAGGATGCCATCTGGTAAATCTCTGAGGCTGCAAAAGCAAAGGAACTCCCTCTTCCGTCCTTCCTCCCCCATGCCAAGAGAGGTCTTGATCTCTCCGCCCTTTGCACATCTCACCCTCGCGGTGGGGGCACTGCTACGGGCTTTCGCCAGCAGCCTTCTTGCTCTTTCGTATTCATTGTTTTCGGACTCCAGCTTCACGGCAGCCAGCCAGATCTCTTCGCTGTTGGGGTTGGCCTGCGAGAACACGAAATCAAAGACAAAAATACATAGTGAAACAACAGCAGATTTAAGTCTTCACATGGATCAGATGAAAACAGATATCAGGGCATCAATCTACACCAAGATTCTTTCAAGTTCAAGCCCTTCTCAATCATCTATGTCTTTGAGTTTACACAAAGTTCCCCAATGGACCCACAACCTAAGGATCTACGCTAGCTTGAGAATCTGGGACAAAACAAAGCCTTCTAGTATAAAGGCCTGTACATGCAACTGCAGTGCAAATAACTTCAGGGCATCAGTGATGGAAAGACTTCAAGGTTTTATAAGAACAGGCCCAAAGCCTAATTTTGGAAATAATCAATCATTCACCTTTACTTAGAGCAACTGCAGCCTTCCAACTATGCTACAGTTCTGCTAGTGGGGCACTGCTCTCCAGGATACCAGAAATTGCCATTTCTCCAGAACCACGATGCTGCCTCGCTCTCCAGGGTCCGAAGGATCATTTATAACAGGATGACTGTACTGGTCCAGATGACAAATGCTCTCAAAATTACCCCTGAGAATAAGGTGGGCATGTTCCCAGTTCTGGGACCAAAACCACTGAATTCCAAGGGAGAAGATTAAGTCATTCCCAAGACCTTGTTTGCAACAAAGCGACTGCAGGTCATGCTATCCTAGAGTTACACAGCACCCAACTTAGAAGGGTCTTGGTGCCTGACCCGACCTGACTTCTTGGTTCTATGGGAACACAAATAATAATGAATTCTGAAAGGGCAGAAGGTGACAGGGCTGCTACCAATCTCTCTCCATTTGAAAACAGCAGGTTGTAAAAGATAACCAGGAACAGCAGAACACAGAAAGGTAAGTTCTGCTATGTTCAAAGGCTGACTGCTGCTGCTAGCTCAGAACTGCCCCCAAAAGGGCTTCCTTGCTTAGCCCTGTCTTGCCCACCCTAATGCTCACACCATATCCACAACTCTAACAGACAAGTGATACACAAACCTGGAAAGCCAGGGCCAGAATGCTTCTGGCTGCAGGCACGTCTCCAGCCAGCCACTTGGATTTAGCTCCCATGAGCCACAGCACTTCTGCTTTGGGACAGTGAGCCACAGCTCTCTGCAAAAGTGCCTCCAGAGATTCCCTGAAACAAGAGAATGCTGGATACAATCAATAACCTGAAGATACAGATATTAACATGAGCTCCCTCAATCTACCTCCACCATCCCCCAGACGTTATAAATAGTTATCGTTATAAAAGTCCAAGGCTATAAACATTGATAAGTCATTTCACAAGGAGGAGGGAGTGGGTGCTCTTTCCATGAGGGTTCAAAAAAAAAATCAGCATCAGAAGATCACTCCACAAAGCAACTCCCTGTTAATACACCATAAATCAGAGAGTGTTTACGGAGAGACCCTCTAGAAACCATGCAAGTCTCAGGAACCGTGGTTCACCTAAACCAAATCTTAGCAGCTATGGTGCCAATTCCCACCCCCACCATTATCTGTTGAAGTAACCTAGACCTCATGGATAAGATTACACTTTTCAGAGAGGTAAAATACATTTTAAGTGTAATGAGAGGGGTTATAAGTCAAGTCACCACAAGAAAACCTGAATGGATATTAACATCAATGGAGGTGGGGCAGAGGGAGGCTAAGTTGCAATAAAAAAAATAAATAAATAAATAAAATGTAGCTTCAACAGTCTAAACTAATGCCCAGATCCCGCAACAGCTGAAACAGAAGAAGCTCCCTTGGCCTTAGGGTTATTGCTCAAACGTTTAAAATTAAGCCTGTGTGCAACTATTTGGAGAACTGGGGCTATTACAAATTTACAAACAACTTAGAATGGTTTAAGATTTCTGAAAAGACAAGTAACCAGATACCCATCGTGCAAAGTGAGCTTTAAAAGGTGGATTTTTCTTTTTTTGCACTGTCCGTTCCAAATTTATCACCTGGTACCAATGTGCAAGAGCAGTAATGTTTAATTAAAAATGATGGATTGCTTCCCAACAAACAGGCTCACTGGTCAAATGGTATACCTGGAGGCATTTGAATCACTTAGAAAAGCAGTATCACCAGGTATTCCCATTTCTGCTAGATGCCTCAGTCCCAAGAGATATAGCCTTATCTGTGCCACCACATGGACCTAATGAGGCACTCTTCAATCCTCAAGAGGATTTTAATGATGCTCACTAACAATAGGCACTCTGATCTGACAGAGGAAGACCACTAGCTGTGCATAAAATGCCAATATTCTCTGGCCTGGTAAAAACCTGCAATTCCAGCTGTTCCATAAGACAGCTTATGGTTGACTGCCTTGCTTCTATGTCTTAGAAGAATTATCTTCACGTACCTAGTTCCATGGTTCTTTTCAAAGTAGGCTGCTCTCAACCACACGCTCTTCTTGCTGGGGAAAATTTGCAAGGCGTAAGCGTAAATTGCCCGAGCACATTCCAGAGCATTGTGAGCGACACACTAGAGAAAAAAGTGGGGAGAAGAGAGTTTAGCAAAAGGGTCCACCAGAGGTACATGTGATGCATCCATCAGTGACAGAGAGCTCTCCAGGTGTGACAAGAATTCTACTGAGCAGGTCTTTACCAAATACTTATATCAGAAGAAGGGTAAGCTTTTGATCAGCAGCAGGGAAAAAGGTACACATTGGGAGTGTGGAATAAATGTTTTAAAGGAAAAATATGGAATTTTCAAAAGCACCCAGGTGTCACTGATTCCACAAAGGGCCTCACTTCTAGGTCACTCAAGCATTTTCCAAAACCTCGAAGGTCCTAAAAGTATGGACTCTGTGCTTGCATATGCATTTTCTATGTACAGAACTTGCTGGGAAGCACAATTTCTTGTGTATGTACCATTCATGATAAGCACAATGCAAAACCAGCATTGGAAACTTAGCTTCAGATGGGTTATCAAAGCAATATAGATGCTTTCTTGCTGCAAGTTGTCTGCTCCAGATAAACCAAGCTATGCACGTAGGTTGTTCTAGTTCCAAACCTTAATTTAATTATATGTAATAATTTTATCTAGTCTTTCGAAAGGTGGAGTTAAACCACTGCAAAATGTGATGCAATTGGCCCAAGGAAAGAGAAGCCAGGATGCAGAACAACAAGTCTGCTGCGGGGAGGCAACCTTGCTACTGGCCAGATGCAGAGAGGTACTGTGCATCAGCCCTTCACGGTCCCAAGACAGAAAATGCAGCTGGTCCAAATCCCGCTACCATAATTCAAGACAAATGAAGCCACAGCTGGACATACGCTATCTGCATCTTCCATCCAGGTGTGTTTCCGATCTTCCTCCTCAATCCCGATCCCAATTACAGCTCGCATAATCGCCTGACAGGTTGCCACGCTTCCAGCTTTATCACACTCCTCTGCATCCTAGAGAAAATAATCAGATCAGCACTAAGGAAATGCATCACTTCAGTCTGAGATAACAGCAAAGGAGAAAACAGATTTTATACCATTGTTCAAGCAGGAGTTACCATGCAGGACCTTTGCAGCATGGATGGGTCCTCTCACTACCCCAACGTGAAGGGCAAGAGACAAAGGGAGAGGAGAAAAAGGAATTGGAGAATTCAGGCTTGTAGAATTTATTACAGAAGTTTAGTTTCAGCCTGTTAAAACAGTTTTATGATGCTAGGTCACCATAACCGCTTAAATCCTGCCATGAATATCCAATATTTTCTAATGCCAAAAAGTGTGGTTATGCTACTGCATTCTTTGTTGCAGTGTGCCCACTGCTCAGTGATTGTAGGACCAGGCTCAGAGACAGGCCCAATTTTCCTTGAACCCTGCCATTCAGAAGTAGAAGGACAGCATATGTGAATACTTGGATGCCTTCACCCCCTCTGGCTAGTGGAGTAGAACCAATTTAAGTAATTTTGATGTGGTTTATTTTTAAAACAGCATTCTATGCTTAAGCCCTGTTTCTAGAACAAAGCAAATCCAGGCAAGGTGCCAGAGGGGTTTTAAGTGGAGTATCAAGCTAGCAATGGATGCCCACAAAGGCTATTGCCAATGCGGGAGCATCACAGACATCGTTAGTACCCAAAGCGTTCAGACATGGCTACTGCAACATAGCCCCTCTCTAGTTTTGTACAGCAAAAGGCTGCAAACACAAATAGTCAGTAACAAATTAAGGAGCATTGTTTGACTCTCACCATATATGGATTACACTCAATTTTTGCAGAGGGACAAGGGAAGAGACCTCATTGGCTCTACTGGCTTCAAATTCATTATGTAGACAACATACAAAAAGCTTACATGGATGTTCAACCTCCATCTTGCCTGGTGAATAACCAACTGCACCTTGAAGCAGGTTTCTTTTTAAAAGAGCAGCAACTCTGATAAAAGTAAGTGTGCTCTCCAGCTAAATCAGCATTTTCCTTTCCAGGTCATACTATTTAATCATAACAGTAGCCTTGATCCTTCCAGCTCAGACCAACCTTTTAGTCTTGCCCAAAGGACCCATACAGAGAACACATTATACTGTTCTCAAAACCGGTTTAGCTCTATATTATTTTATTTATTTAACATAAGCAGCCCTCAAAGAAGGTGTTACATGGTTAAATACGGATTGTGGTCTAACACTAGAGTGCTCATGAGGCTTTCTAAAACGAGAATGAAAGCAAATACCTGGATCCACTGCTCTCTGTTGATTTCCACCCCGTTTGCCCTGAGAGACGTGATAGCTCTGTCAATGATTTTCTCTACCATCTGAGTGTTTCCGTTGGCTTCTTCCAGTTTGGCAGCCGTGATCCAGATGTGCCGGTCTGTCGGAATGTTCTCACGGGCTTTATTCAGGACTTTGCGAGCATTCTCATATGTCTCCAGCCTTGCCAAAGCAAGCCACAGCTGCACAACAAGACCCATTTTTATATTAAAACAAGGAGGTGATGATGCCTGATAGAGGTGTCAGCCCAGGCAACAGAAGAGAGAACATTTTGTTCTATGCCAACACACACACATATACTTCTTAATACTCCCCCCCCCCCGTCCACATTAATATCACTGGGCAGCAGAATGCTAATATACAAGGAAGATTTGAATTTAGTCAGTAAATACTACTGATTTGGGGTTCTCTCTGCTGCAATTCTGAATACTATTTTTTATGTTGCCAGTGGATTTACAGCTTAATAGTTGGTTAAATAAATATTTAAAATATACTTTTTACATTTTTAATATTTTTAAACTATGGCCCATATTTTCCAAGTTGGGCATATGTTAGCTTTCACAATTAAAATGTGCCAACTGTGACTGCAAATGTGCTTAACAGGCCATCTGGAGGCGCAGTCACTAGTTTTATTTGCCCAGCCACAGTAACAAACAATTACACAGGAAAAGAAAGCAGTAAAAAAACCTGCCCATCGCCCTGCATATTAGTTAAAACATTGGGTGAACCCATGCATTGTTTCGTTAACCTGAACGGAAAGTAAAATTGGTTGACTTGCCTCCACGCTAGTTGGGCAGCATTCCACAGCACGGCTTAGCATTATCCTAGCATCTTCAGGTTCTTCCAACTCTACTGCGGCCTTCCACAAGCGCACTGAGTTTGGAACGTGCTCAAGGGCTACAATGGAGAAACAATAATATGAATCATGCAAAAGAATTCTTGCCCATCAGAGAAAACAGTATAACTTACAGTTGCCCTGCAAAACTACTTTGCTAAGAGACTCTTCAAAGAAAACAGGCAAAAGTTTGCTCATTGGAAAATACTACGGAATTAGTGAGGGAGAGGGGGGGGAAAAAATCTATTTGTTAAAAATGAGACTCTCCTAGCTTTGAATTCACCTCCTAGCGCAGGCTGAAATAAGAGAACATCTAGCCTCAATTTCTGCAAGCTGCCAAACTCTTATCAAGTAACATCTGTGTTTCAACTCTTGCAAAATCCGCTTCAGTGATCTTTGGACATAAAGTCAGGAAAGTAAGCAAGCCATAAAACACTTTTTTCCCTGATTCAAGTCAAACAATAGCAGTTGTCAAACAAGTTTTGTGCAAGTTAAAGATTTTTCCACTTAGGCCTAACATTTGGTATTGCAAGCCCAGGAAGAGTTCAAATACATTGTAAAAAGGATTAATCCTATGACAAACAGAGATGAGTGAATAACTTATCATGCAATTAGTCCCCAGCTTCAAAAGAAGCTGGGTTAAGACACCAGGCATAAAGCACCCCAACTCTGCCCAAACAGATTTTATTGACCACAGCATGAAATCCCCAGACCCAAACACTCCTCCTCTGTCCAACATGTGTGTATATGCAGGCATATGAACTTGCTCATTTTTAAAAGTTCCCATAAGAAGTCATGTATTCCATAAAGAGCTTCCACTTTAAACAGCAATACACTTTTCTCTTCATGTCAAAAGCATTTCTCAAAGAAATGTTGCTTTCCTTCAAGAATGCATTGACAACTGAATGCACAGTGAGTGGTCTAGCTTTCCCGATAGCTAATACAGTACCCTAAAATTTAAGAGAGGGTTTGGAAAAGCTTTAGCATCTCTCCAAAACATTGTTAAAGATACAAGCTACTGAATTCTAAGTGTCCTTCCTATAACCAAGTATGGTTCCATTTAGCCAAGGGCTTTTCAGGTTCCTTTAATCATGTCTAGGCATTTTCTAGCTTTGGTAGGAACTGCCTTCTCAGCAGGCTGTGCTGTCTGAATTCTCAAAGTCCAAACAAGCGACTGCTCTCAACCTGCCTTCTGACAAAGGCAGACCTTAAAAAACAAGCAGCACTACACTTTTCTATTTTTAAAACCTCTGACTTGCTGCAAACACCACAGATTATTATGGCACAGAGAATGCTGTGCTGTTTCAGGTGCCGTCTCCTTGATGCACGTTATTTATAACCAGTTGTGCGGTTTTGCCCAATGTGTGCATGAACATGCCACAAGACAGACCAGAACCTTTTAAAACAGAAATAGGTCACTGTAAAACCACAAACATTGGTGGGCTGGGAGAGCATCTGAAGTTACTTTGAAAGTGAGCAGATTTCAAGCTAGCTGTGTCCCTTTAAATATTCCTACAAAGGTCCAGAGAGATGAATTGTAATTCTGAGCCTCTTTCAGGCTCAGATGCAGTAGGAAGTACACGCAGGTTTTCCAACAAAGGCATTTTAATGAGCTGAACATTACCTGTTTTTTTATCAAGTCTACAGCAGCAAGCCTTCTAGAATGTTGAAAATCAGTCTCTGATAGTTTAAGAGTACCAATCAGCAGGACAGAGCATGTTTTTCAAAGGCAGCATTCGATTTCTATGCTCCAAGACATTCTACCGCTCAGATTGCTGCGCCTGACTGAAGAGGACATAGGCTTTAAAAGCTCTAGAGTTTAAGTGGGATGGTAGGGTCACGCACAGGCAATAGAAACAAAGCAGAAATGCATTCTAAGACGATTGTGTTTCAGGGCTGCTACTTGGCACTCAGCCCTCCTTACTTTTAAATAAGCAAACTGGTTAAGTTGCCAGATCTCACATGGCAGCTATTCCGCATGCATCCAGGCATCAGATTTGTGATGCACCATAGCTCGCAGCAACGTTGGAACAGTGCAGAGCTGACTGTTAATGTATGTAAATGAGAAGCAGCACAACAAATATTCTCCTTCTACACCAGACGTTTGGCCAGGTTGTACTTTACACAGAGCCCCCAAGTTTGCTTCTCACAGGAGACAGGATACAAGATTCAACCTTCAAAAAAGCCCCATATATTGAATCTGCTGCAAGTCATTGGTTTGATACAAAGCGTCCCTCTGGCACATTTCATCTAGGATCATGGTACATTTTTCTATTTAATATTAATTGCTAATCTCAAAGGCTAACAGAGCACAACAGCAGCAGCTGCAGCATCCACTCTAAGTAGATAATGCACAAAAACAGCCAATGAAAACTCTTGAGAGTTCCAGGATGGCAGCTTTAAGTGAACCTTAAAGTATAAATCTTTTATCTAGCAGCAAGAGTGTTGTTCCATCACTGAAAACCAACTGAGATGCAAGTGAGAGGCAGGACATAATTTACTTCCTTTGGTCTCATCCCACTCTGCAGTAATGATGCTCCATGTTATGCAGTCATTTAACACAGTGGATTGCTGCATAAAGACTTCACAAAAGCACTTTCCCCCAGTCACCTAAAAGACTGCCGTTACTCAAACCATTTGTTCCAAGCTGTAATTGCTGCGGTTCAACAGCTCAACAAGGATTTAGCCTCTGCTAGAATGAGGCTGGCATGCTGATTTCAAATTAACGTTGTGAGCCCATGGGCGAGACCTGGGTTCAAGATACCAAAACGAATCACCGTTGCAAGAGAAAGAGGTGTCAACCATGTGTGGACTAAACTACATTGCTGGCTGCTAGCAAACTGACCAAGTGTTAACGAAGCTGGAGTAGACAGTAAATTAAACAAAGACTGGGGAGGCAGAAAGCAGAGTTATGGGGACGGCACAAGAGACAGGGATTGAGTAAACATAGAAAATGTGTTTGGAACAAATTAATTCTCCTAGCAGAACAGATCCAAGCCTGACACCCTGGTTGACAGTGACCAGTACCAGACTTTTCAGCTGGAAAGTTTCTTCTCCTACATAGATCTCATCCTGGTCTCTGGAAGTTAGGGACTGGTTTACACCTTAAAACCCAAGGTTTAAATGCTTTACAATATGAGTGCTGTCAAACTCCTTCCAGGTGTTTTCCAACCTCCGCCTCAATGAAGTTAAATGAAAACAGGATAGAAGGGGTTTTAGAGGAAAAGAAATTTTGTCACTGAACAAACATGGCACAAGTGCTTTTGAGATCATCAGCATTACAATTCTGGATGTGCTGCCTAACCACATGAACATGCAATCCCATTTTAAACCCTGTCAAAGCTCTGGCATCACTGACTTGCTACAGCAATAAATTCTGCAAGTTTAAACACAGTAAGTGCTTAAACATGTCCTTACCAACAACATGAAAAAAAACCCCCACAGATCTAAGTCTTCAGATCAGACCATGAAGAGACGACACTGCGTGCACATATGTCTAAGTCTCAAACAGTTTAGTTCTTGCAACCTTGTGGAAGCTCTCACCTTTCCTGAGGACACGTTTCTTTGCTCGGATGTCTGTCTCCAGCTCTGCTGCTCTGATATAAATTCGGACAGACTGTGGAAGATGGCGGACTGCCTGGGCCACCACGGCCTTCGCCGTGTCCCCAGGCTGCAGCCGAGCAGCTTCTAACCAAACATCTTCACTCTGTCAGTCAGGAAAGAAAAATTAGCACTCTTCACAGAGAACACTGGCAAAGGCCCCATAAGAGGGAGGTTCAATTATAACCACAGGCTAAACACCATTCCGGCTCCTGTCTTATAAGATAAGCTTCTCAGTATAGGCTGAGAGTCTAATGGAGACAAGATGCTTTTAACCACACTCTTTTTGTGAGGTTTTAAAACAGTCAAGTAGAAACCAAAGCAGTTCTAACCTTGGGGCACATTTCTGTCCCCTTCATGATGAGGTTGCGAGCTACTTGCAGTTTGCCAGTGACTTCTTCCAGGCGGGCTGAAGCGATCCATGCTGGGGGGTGGTGAGGATTGGTCTCCCGGACAGACTTCAGAAGCAAACGAGCTTTTTTGATATCACTGACAAAGAAAACACACAAGGAAGACTCTAAGTATGCTAATTAACAGCACTCCTTACACCAGCTCCCTCCATCCACTCTCTCACAAATCGCACAGACACACATTAACCCTGACCTCATTCTTAGACACAAATACGATGTTATAAGCTAATACTACCCTCCTGTAGAAAATATAGTCATGGAGCTGAGGTCAGTGTGGCTGGAAGAAACAGCAGCTGGTGGAGCTGATAATATCCAAGCATGCTTACAAACTCAAAGCCGTTACATTAAAAGGTACGAATTGAAGTTGTGGTGAATGCTGGTTTAACTGGCCATTTTTAAGGGCAGCATTGAGAGCAGCATTGGTAGCTCAAAGCTATTTATTGAGTCAAGTCTTTTGTGCAGGTAGACAGATAGATAAGATCTCAGTTTTGACATTTTAAAAGGTCACCAGTCAAATCCAAATCTGCAGTCACTGATGGGAACTGAACTGGATCAGTTCCTAGCCAATAGGCAGTAGCATTACAAAGCTGCCACCATATCTCATTCCCAGTCTTGGCAAAACTGAATATTTGTGGGGACAGTTAGTGTACATAGATCTTGACCTGCCTTTGTATCTGTAGGGGAGAACTTGTGGTAACTGGGCCTGCAGACAAGGGACTTCAGCCACCAGATTTTAAGAATACCAATCTTCGAAGGAGAAGAAAAATGTATGGCATCATTCAGACTAGTACAAAGGTTGCCTAGAAGCCATTTTAGCCAGAGATATTAGAAATATGGGGTTCTATTGATATGCAGGTTATTCAGTCACTGCCAAAAAAAGCCAAACCAATACATGCCCAGCAAGACCTACTTGATATCTCCGCCATGTGTTGGAATCATAGAATTCAAGTCTGTCAGGTATCCCTTTGGGTCCACCACGGTTTGGCCACTCACAGAGTCAGACACCTGAGAAAGAAATGCCAATACTGATGAAAATTACCAACCACAGCACTTTGGGGAGAACCAAAAAAGAAATTTATTTAAGAGAGGGAAAACACCAGCACTACCATCACCTGGTTTATAGGGTTACCTGGTATGAAAGCCGAAGAAAGAAAAAAAAAAAAAAAAAAAAAAGAGGAAAATTCCCTTGTTTTAATCACTCCTCTTCCCTCCAGACCCCCCATTTCTGAACTACAGGACAGTACAGGCTGATTTGCAGAGCTTCTTTCCTAGAAACCAAATCTCAACACTGTTTACATAATTAAACTGTACTACTGACATTTAAACAAACAGAGAGAGAAGAATGAAAAGATCTAATCAAGCTGAGAAAAAAAAAATATGTTCACTTTTGACATTTGAAAATAAAAGGGAAAAGCTGTTGAGGCAAAGACATCCATAAAGGGTGTTCAGAGAGACGACAGCTGCAGGAGACAGCTTCCGCATCAACAGCAGTAAATCTACGAGGGCACTAGGAGAAGAGATCAATAGGAGAGAAAAACCATCTGGGAAGCAGGATGGCACAAGTCAATACAGAGTGATTTCTAACCAAGTCTCATTACAATCAGAAGGTAGGAGGCGAGTTCCAGGGGAGAGGTGATCAAGCTTCTCTGAAGTCAAGGCAGCCACTAGAAATAGTCTCTGCACAGAAATGTGTGTTTAAGTTACACATGTGCGCACACATTATTTCCATGTTCCTACTGAGCCACACCCTTGAAACATTCTGCTCATGCAATATCAACTTTTTTTTTTTTTTTTTTAAACAAGTACAAAGGCTCCAGTCTGGAGCAGCAAAGGCCATCTGATAACTAAGAACTGCCAAAGGCAAATAATCTTGCTATAGATAGCTACATCAACTGCCCCTCCAAACAGGAATCTCTGGTCTGCTAATATCACACATGCACTTTTTATTTAAACAGAAAACTAAAGTGCTTAATAGCTAAGAGCTGCCAATTAAAAAACATGGTCTTGAAACCAACTTGCAATCAAAGAAAACTAAGAAAATGTACTTAAGAGTTCAAATTCAGCTAAAAGTAATAAATAAATAAATAAATATTCATGGGGAATAAGGGACAGCTAGACATAAAAAGGTTTTGTAGCATCTACAGAAACACTACCAAGACGGTTTTACTAATGAACATTCAACTTCAGATTAATTTCTTCAAAATTCCACCTAGGCAAAGACTACATAAAGTGCCACCTTGTTCCTCCCTGTACGATCTGTCATATCTGACAATGTTAGTGACAAGTAAACTTTTTTAATCTTCTTATGAAATTCTGCACAACGAAGAGAAGTAGGACGGCGAAGCAGATTCCGTTCTGACGCCTACACAAAACCCAATAGTTGAAGTACTGATTTTTCTCTTAGGTTGAGCAATCCCTCTGAAGACAATGGGTTGCTCAAAAGGATATAGTTTAGCCTGAAAAAAAGGTTAAAATTTGTAGAAATATACAACTGGAAAGCAAAAAGCAAGCAGCTTGACTTTCTGATCCCAATGGGAGCTGGTAGTACTGGTGACTAGGGAAACAAACAAATACACAAGCTCGCATTTAGTTTGACCTAGAAAATACTATTTTAAACAACACTGTATGAACAATACCATTTAAAAGAGCCTTTTGTTTCTTTTTATTATTTTATAACCTAAAGGGAACAGAATAAAGCTTCCAAAACAGGGCCTCATGAGAAACAGCCTACAACTACAGTAAAAGCTCTGTTATCCGGCATCCCCTGAGAATGGGGGATGCCGGTTAATCATATATGCGCCGTCTGGTGCACTCCCTGGCGTCAGTGTGCCAGAAGACAGAGAGGGGGGCCTACACAGGCTGCTTTGCCCTGGGCCGCGGGCCGAAGAAGTGGCAAAGAAAAACTTGGCTCACAGCGGCGAAACAGGAAGTCCCCCGAAAGCGGTACTTCCGGTTTCGCTTTTGCCGCATCCCTCAGAGGTCGGTTAATAGAGTTTTCCGGCTAATAAAGTGCCGGTTAAAACAGCTTTTGCTGTACTAAGTCTTTCAGAGGTATGGTATTTTTGTGGCTTACCTGGCTCAATCTCATATCCATCAGAGTATTCCTGGCCTGGCCAATCTTCCTCATATCCAGTTCGCCTGTCCCAGGTGTCATTAGTCCAGGTGTCATTCCTCCTGGATAAGGAGTGTTCAGCCCCCCTGGATACGGTGTGTTCAAGCCACCAAATTGCTGCCAGAAAAATGGAAGACATTCTTATGATCTATACTGGGATTTTCAGAGGGATCCAAGGGAGCGAGGTGCTCAGCTGTTTTTGGTTTCAATTGGAGCAAGGTGCCTAACTCCCATCCATGCCTTTGAAAGTCTTCTCCTAGTGATTCTGATTGCATGAGCTGAAAGATATGGCCTGGGGAGGCAATAAGATCTCTGTTTGTATTGTAGTGTCACATCATTTTCTAAAGATCAACCACTGGATGAAAAACAAGAATGTTAACGAAATAAATCTCAAAGCAAGTGTCAAAAGATGATCATGACATATTAACTGGCAAGGATAGTTAACAATAAAAAAGTCATGAGATAACTTGGTGCCAATTCAAGGTTGATGAGCTTCTCTTCTATCAGCAGATCACAGTAATCTTCACCTAAAGAATCAAATCATAAGCCAGGCTTAAAACACTGACCTCACTGTCAACTGAAACCAAAACATCTTAATTCTAGAACAAACAAAGCCCCTAGGGGGAGTTGCATTACACTTCCTGCTTTGTATTTAGAAAAAAACTTCAGCCAATTAAGAAAAAACAACCCAAAAACAAAAACATGATGGTTCACTGAGCACATTTAATTATGCACCCCCTCCCCCTCATGGAAAAGGGCTTGGAACCAACCAAATTTTAGACTCTTTCATTACTAAAACAAAATCTAGCCTTAGGCTCTTTTTGCTCAGCTCCAGAATTTATTTTAGTTTCCAACCTGGGACTGCAACAGGCAGAAACATCTTCCAAAGCCTCCCAGGCTCAGGATGCTCTTCATGCTACAATTACCAGCCTCAAGTCTAGTCTTTATGTTTAATGGAACAACAAGACATGTTATAAGTTTATATTGGCATACGCTGTGCAGCAACTCTTTAGCTCGACATACAGCTAAATGTTTGTTCCAGATCAACAGAAGTTAATTTTCCTAGTTTTGTTTTCATACTCACCGTCTGTCGGGGGTCCACAGAAGTGTGATTCTCCCCACTTTGCAAGTGTTTAGCAAAGAAACTATCAGGTACAGGAGTCAGCTTCTCATAACGTGGGTTCCTCTGACGCTTGTTTCTGGCATCGCCAACTTCCGGAATGCTCAGCCACTCTTCTTCTGTGACTTCTGCCAGCTTCCTCTACACAAGCACAAGGAGTCAATATTACCGGTTTTTAGAAGATTTTGTGCCTTAATACACACTGTCAAATTCTTTAATGAGCTGACTATCAACCTGATAGTTTCGGAAACTTCAGGGTAAGCTGGATCCTATTTTGCCAGAAAAAAAAAATTGCACCCTTTTGAACAGGTATTTGTTAATACAAACAACATCGCTCTGTAACTACAGAAGCCAACAGAATTTTGGTTTAAACCAGTACTGTTCCGTCCCTCTCCCGCCATACAAAACCTCATACTGAAAGTCATAACGCGATACTTCAGGTATTCTCAAGCCAACACTGGCTTCTGCAACCTGAGCTATCAGTTACATACTGGTTTTTGCATACTATGCAATGGACATTGCTGCCGTTGTGAAGGTAGGCAATAGGCATAACAGCAAAGTCTCAAACAGCCACTACTCTACCTCGAACGGTGCCAACAAATGCAAAAGAATCAGGCCCATCCCCCAAAATGGGATTTTTAATTTGGTGACATGCAGGATAATCTTTTTTCCTTACTTTCAAGTCGGAGAACTGCTGCTGAATTTTGGGACGTTCCATACGGTACTTTTCAATTTCTTCTTTTTCCCGTTGTTCTCTAGAAAACAAGCATCAGAGAAACTGCATTCACAGAAACACTGAGTGGGGTTTAGACAAATTACAATGATAGATCAGCCTGTTTCGCCAGAGCTATTCAGGCACAAACCTACATGGACTGTGGGGGGTAGTTCTATAGGTCAGGCTCAGATTCATCTGCAATTAAATAGGATCAATACTTAGTACAAAAAAAAAAAATTCCAAAGACAAAGCAATAGAATAAAAATTAATATGTGCATTAAACCTGGCTCTTTAATCCTGTTATCTATGGATCTGATAATATTATTTATTTTTAATTGTGTTTCTTAATTTACAAAATACCCACATGAGAAGACTCTTCTGGTAACATCCAGCTTGTTGCGCGAGGCACATTAGTTCAGTTAAGCTCACTGGGAATTACTGTTTCCCTAAACCATCAAAATAAACCACCATGAAAAACTTCAGCTAATTCAACTATATATGAATGAAGCTAGACAACAAGCATTAATCATTCTCCAGGATAAGTCATGCAACATACCAAGCACTTCTGAAGCAGACAGGTATCTCACACTGATTCAGTTGTGACTTTTGAAAATGTTGCCCTGGTAACAGAGCAAGGCAGCACAACAGCAGAGAGAAGCCAGAAGAACCGATTCCTAGATCCGTACCATAACTACAAACCACTACCTTGTTGAAGTTCCATAATTAAGCCTACCTTCTCTCTTTTCTCCTTTCGTCCATCCTCTTATCCAATGCTGCATAAATAGCATCCGCTTCCTCATCATCCTTCTCATAAGGACCACTTGAGAACAGGCTCCCAGCATAGCCATTAAACTGAAAATTTTAAAGGGCCAAAACATTTTAGTTTCAAAGTTCAGTTACACATCTAGCAAAGACAATACAGTCATTCAAGAGAAAGAAAACCCCTCAGAGACCATTTTAACAGTAAAAAGGCAGCAAAAGGGCACAGCACATCAGCCCCCTTGGCTCTGCAGGGAACTTATAGACCTCCTGCATCTAAAAAGAAAGATCTATAAAGGATGGAAGACTGGATCCACCTCAAAGGAGTATTCTGCAATGGTCTGGACCTATAGGGCGCAAACCAGGAAAGCCAAGGCTGCGACTGAACTCCAACTGGCTACATGTATCAAAGACAATAAAAAGTCCTTTTTTAGATATGTGGGGACCTGGAGGAAAAGCAAGCGTAACACTGGACCCCTGCTAAACCATATGGGACAACTGACAACCAATGGCCAGGAAAAAGCCAACCTGCTTAATAGGTATTTTGTGTCAGTTTTTCACCAGTCCCAAGGGTGGTAGTCAATAAAAGTCAATCACTGTGGTGCACCGTGACCAGTGGAGTCCCCCAAGGCTCAGTCCTTGGGCCTATACTGTTTAACATCTTTATTAATGATGTGGACATTAGTATCAGAAGTGGACTGGCCAAGTTTGCCGATGATGCTAAACTTTGGGGTAAAGCGTCTATACCCGAGGACAGGAGAGCGATCCAGGCTGACCTCAATAGGCTCAGAAAATGGGCGAATGAAAACCTGATGGCGTTCAACACTGAAAAATGCAAGGTACTCCACCTCGGGCAAAAAAACCTGCATCACGCTTATAGGCTCGGCAGTGCTACACTTGCTAGCACCACAGCTGAAAGGGACTTGGGGGTCAGGATTGACCATAAGATGAATACGAGCCACCAATGCGATGTCACAGCTGGTAAAGTGAGCAAAACTCTGGCTTGCATCCATAGATGCTTCTCAAACAAATCCCAGGATATCATCCTCTTGCTGTACTCAGCCTTGGTGAGGCCACAGCTGGAGTACTACATCCAATTCCAGGCTCCACAATTTAAAAAGGATGTGGAGAAGCTTGAAAGAGTCCAGAGGAGAGCCATGCACATGATCAGAGGGCAGGAGAACAGGCCTTATGATGAGAGGCTGAGAGCCCTGGGGCTCTTCAGCCTGGAAAAGCGCAGGCTCAAGGGGGACCTGGTGGCTGCCTATAAGTTTATAAGGGGTATACACATCAGGATCTGGGGGAACGTCTGTTCACCAGAGCGCCCCAAGGGATGACAAGGTCAAACGGTCACAAACTCCTCCAAGACCATTTCAGGCTGAACACAAGGAAGAACTTCTTTACTGTCCGAGCCCACAAGGCCTGGAACAGACTGCCGCCAGAGAGAGTGCAAGCACCTACTCCGGACTCCTTTAAGAGACATTTGGATGTCTATCTTGCTGGGATCCTTTAACCCCAGCTGACTTCCTGCCCCTGGGCCAGGGGGCTGGACGCGATGATCTTCCGAGGTCCCTTCCAGCCCTAATGTCTATGAAATGCAACTAAAATAGCCCTAAAGCAACCTATCGTAGTAGTGAATTTCATCAGCAAAAACCTTTTGGTAAGCGATAATTGCATAAATGTTTCATTAGCAGAAATGTTTAACTGTTGAAAACAAATGTAAAACAAACAATGCTGTATCTCAGCATGAGTCGATTTTACTAAGTTAAACGCAAGTTTTTATTGGGACCGAATCATCTCAACGATGGGGTAAAAAGCAGGTGTTTCGACTTCGCTTCTGGAGAAGCATCAGAGGAACGGTCCACAAAGCACTCACCTTGATATTCTATTTAGACATCCCTCCCCAAATCCCCTGGGCTCAGTACAAACAGCCCGATCACAACGTGCAAATATCACCACGGAAAAATAAGCCCATACACACTGCGGCACGACACGCACACAACTCATGGCAAAGGGTGCTGTGAACTGGCTCTGCAAAAAACTCTGCCATTGTTCCCTCACATAGCACGGCACAGGACATCGGGATGATTTTATGTGGTGTTTCTGGGATGGGGGGGAGGGACAGGGAGAGAGGTAGCGTTACATTTCCCCCCACCCCCGTCAGACAGGAGGAGCATCACCTCATCATAATTGGTGTCGTTCAGATCTTCATCATCGTCGTCCGCCGTCTGGTTTTTCTTCATCTGGTCCCCGACGGTCCTCTTCCCCGGCGGAGCATGGCGATCGTCCACTGGGTCATTGGCATCACGTGCCGGGCCGATATCCGAACGGGTGGTGAAGCCCGTAGCGCTAAATGGAGAGACCAGCGGCTAGGATTTAGTCTGCAGCAATAATACGATGGCGAGGAACAAAACAATCCAGCCATTCACAAGTGCAGCACCCCACTGCTGAAACACATACTGTGCAGGAGCAGCTCCCCCCCTTCAAGGGACACCATGGTGGAGCAAGGAAGCCGAGCTTTTACTGCCCGGTTTCCCTCCCAAGGTTTGGTGCCTCTAAATGCGCTGAACCAGGCCCGACGGGAGCTGAGAGGCGCCGCAGCCCCCCCTCGCCTCGCCCAGGCCCGGGGGGGGAGGGCTCACCCGCGGCCCAGGCCCGGCACGTAGCCCAGCGGCGCGGGCATGCCCAGGAACGGCTTCTTTTTCTTGTTCATGGTGCCCGTGATGGCGGCGGCTAAGCCCGAGGGAGCGGCCGAGCTGGAGCCGCCCGCGCCTGAGGAGGAAGAGGAAGAGGAAGCGGCCGCGGCGGCCATTTTGGGAAGCGGAGGCGGTGCTACCCAGGCAAGCACCGCGGCCGGAAGTCCCGCCCACGGGCTTCCGGGCCGAGGGGCGCAAGCAGAGGGGAGGGGGGATGGAATGTTGGAGGGGGTTGGCTGTGAGCGGAGTGTGCGCATGCGCGCCTGGCTCAGGTTGAGCTGCTTGCAGGTGCTTGCAAACAAGCATGACTCCTGCAACCCTCCCACTGGGCACGCACTGCATGTGACGTGCGTGTGCATTACACACCACATGGCAGAGGTCAGGCTCCGCAACATTGCCAACTTTCGTGATTAAAGTTGCCGTAAAAGTTCACGCATCAGGATTGTGTAAAAACCGCAGCTCTTTCTTTTATATAAGTATTAGCAGTATAAATGGATATGAAGGAGCTACGCTGTTGCACGTTCCTGACGCGTAAACTTTTACAAACCACGCCAAAAATCATGAGATTTGGTAATGCTGCGTGCACGGCATCCCTCCAGCTCTCGGTGCATGCGGGTGTTGCTCGGGGTGCTCTGCTTTGTGTCGCCTTCTGGCTCCTTTGATAGCAACCTGTGACCTCCCGCTCGGCCCTGTTGGTTATTTGTCCCAAGGCATCGGTTGTGACCTCCCTTATTAAGACTTATAATTTCATTGGCCCACGATTCCCTTTGTCCCGTCAAATAGGCCCCCAGCCTGGGTTGCACCATTCATCCCCAAGGCCTGCAATGCATGGCGATGGAGCCATGCTGCAGGGAAGGTCTACCTAGGACCAAGGACAGAGGCCGTGCTTGTATTAAACCTATAGGGAAATCCCTCCCAGGCTTGGTACCACTGTTTCAGGTCTAAGGGGTGGAAGCAGCATTGGCAGCCCATGCACAAAGCCCAGGAGGCTTTTAGCATCGTGAGCGCTGCGGCACACAGATCTGTGCTACTTGTTGGGAGACGCGGCTTAATTTGCCGACTGGCTTTGAGGGGGTCTCTCTCATGGGGATGAAGGGCCTTATTAACACAGAGTTTGCAAAGTCCACGAGGACCTCATAAGAAGGGGAGTTCAGCTACACAGAGGGTTTGACCCTCCTTCAAGGAAACCCCTTTGAAACCCAGCTGAGGAGCCTCGCTCCATCAGAGCTCGGGAGGCACGTTGTTCAGAGGTCGGTGGGGAAAGCTTCATCGTCATCACGGGCGGACGAGGTTCTTTGAGTAGATGTGACGTTTTTTGTATTAGGCCAACTAAATAGTTGGGGAAATTGTTCTTTGCAAGCTTTTGGGCACAACCGCCCTTCGTCCTTAGACGAACATGACTACAACCAACTTGTAATCACAGGGCATTTGCTTCTGCATCATGGTGCAGCAGGGTAACCCCTGTGCTCACATCGCCCACGCACTTTCATGTTCAGTGCATGCCACTAAATCCACCCTGGTTTGCTTGACTCTTAGCCCAGCTTCTTTAAAAAATGGTGCGTTCCTTCAGCAATCCTCGCCTGAGTGACAGCAGCAGAGCCAAACTGGACAACAGCTCTGCTGGAAATATCACTGGAGTTCCAGCTGCTGGTGGATGGGTCTCCACAAGACACCACGTAGGTCTAAAGTGACCATTGCCCGCTATCAGAGATTTTTAAGTACCTCCTGAGAAGCAGATAGGCTTTCCCCTATGAAATCTGCTTGGTTCCGGTTTTGTATATACCACCAGGTGGAGTACTTAGCACATTAACTTGCCCCTCATTAAATAATTACCTCTCAGGTGCATAATTGAAGACAGGGAAAAAAAGAGACTCAAATTGGTTCTTTTTTGAATGTCCATGCATGGAATTCAGACTGAGTCTGCCTTAATGCTTGAGAGCCCACGCAGCCTCAGCAGGCTTTACAACTTCCCAGAACTCATTCAAAACTCACAGGGGGAAAAAAAAAGTCTTCAGAACTTGAGTAAAATTCGATACACTCCTCACCCTAACGATCACAGCCTAGTTTTGTACCTCAAGCGCACTACTTTCTCATCAGGCCTTTACGAGAAAATCAATTTCATATCTTAACTCTCTCTATGAAGTTAAATTTAATCTACGTGGCTGTATTTTGCTGTATTGCTTATTTAAGGGATAATATCCATGGCGGTGGAGTATGCAAAGCAATAAGCTGAGCTTGTACTTGATTAAATGCTGAAGCGGAGCGACGGCATTTAATCAACAGCAAACACCATTTATTGCAAGCATGCTTCAGTGCCATGAAAATTACTGCTATTGTACTGCCAGAGAGCAATTTTAGGCATCTATTCTTGTTTGAAGAGGGTTTGGAACTGGTGTGCTGCTATCTGTGTAGGATTTTCCGGTGATGGTTATATCTGGGGTAGGAGAAATGGGGGGAACTAAACATCGCAGCTGACTTTGAGGATGCTAGAATAAGCGTGACCTGACCTCCCCCAGTTCCAAGCAAGCCCCAAATTGTAGAACAGTCAATTTTGCATTGCGCTGTAGGGTTTGTTGTTGTCTCCGTGCATTGAATGTAAAGGAAGGGGGAGAGGAACTGGAAGGGATAAAGTGCAAAAAGGGGTGATCGGAAGGGATGGGGATAAAGGCCCTGAACCCCTACAAACCAAGCCTTGCCATGGTCCGTCCCCGCTTCCACCCCCTCCAGCCCCGACGTCGGCTCTGCTACCCCCTGATGGAAAGCAGGACAGTGAATAATTGATGAAGGGGGTCCTTGAAAGTGAATCGCTGATCAAGGGTGGAAGGACTGCGTGGAGAAGAGTGACACCGCTGGAGATGCTGCCTGAATGCCGATCGGGTTGATAGTGTCACGCCTAATGAGACAGCGCTCTCTCTTCAGGACCCCTGCAGGCTCGGTCTTCCTCGGGTCCAGGCTGTAATCACTGCCATCGCTGTCACTGTTAGCAGTTATTATTTGCACTGTGCTCAGGGCTTTGTTAACCCCTGCTGCTGTGGGGCAGCAAAGCAATAAAGCTTTGTACAGATACAGTCTCCTAGAAGACATCCAAAGTGGCTCTTTTGGGCAATCCAGTTGGCTATGGCCTACTACATCTTCTCTGGTGCTTGGGACTCTGCGCCTAATGCCTGCTTGAATACCCTGGATCTTTTCATTTCTCTACTAAATCTAGAGCAGATGCCCGTGGGCAAGGGAAGGCGGGCTTTGATTGATTGATCTGTCCCCACTGGCAGATCAAGTTTTCCTTCTGGCTCCAACACATCCCCTGCTGCCTGGACTTCACATGACACAGGCCTCTTAATATGTGTCCCTCCCACCCCCAGTTATTTTGCTTTTGCAGCATGCATATGTGATACTATAAAATTAAATGCATGCAAGCTATCCCACCGGGCTAGCACAGCAGGACTGGATGTGGAGTAGCCAGAAAGCACCTACCGACAAGGACTTCTTCAACATCAATGTACCCCGGCCCTGCTGAGAGCTCGGGAGCACGTGGTAATTCTGGTCACAGTGTTTCGGGAATGCCCCTAATGTCACAGCCCATCAAGAATGGCCTATGGCCGACCCACGTTGGTTCATGTTGCCCAGTTGGGGGTTGCTTCCCAGATGCTCCCTGATGACACAAGGCATTAAATAGAGACTGCTGCACAATCAGTCCATAGTAGAGCAAGATGCCCAGTGGAAACTGCCTCTGGACCACATAGTCCTACACAGGGGCTCAGCACATGCACTTTCACCCCCTCAGCCATCCAGCAAAGACTTTGGGTGGACCCTTTTCTATACACTAACTGCACACGAGGCCATCTGGCTCTAAACTACAGCTCTTTCCTGCCGTTTCATGGCCAAGCAATTGCCTCCTTTGGCGTATCCCAAACTTTTAGCTTCCAAAGGGCTGTATCAAACATATAAAAGGGAGTGAGACCCCTGAGAAATGCAATAACAGCCTCCTACAGTGCAGCGTGCTTGGTCCCATGAGAGTAACAACCACTGAAATGAAGTACTCGGGACCAGGCCACAGCTGGAAATGGTCCAAATCACCATAGCTCCCCGAAGAACATTCAGCCAGGGCAGTTTTCACCAGCTGAGGGCCTGGCCCATCAGTAATGGCAATTTTCCTCCTAATTTGTGTCTATTAAACAGGAAAATCCTGATAGATTCATGCCGTGCTGAACAAAAGGCATGTGCATGCATGTCAGTGGCTTAGATCTTTTCGCTGATTAATTACCAACTGGATTCTATTCCTTTCGCATTTGCAATTAAAAGTCGGAACAGATGGCGAAGGCTTCATTTAAGGATATATGCCCCTTGCAATAATCCGAGTCTCCCTAGGCTACAGCTTCTGCCACAATGAATCAGGACCACAGGGAAAATTATCTTGGACCAGAAGGTTTCTTGGAGGCAAAGCAGGGTGGCCAGGAGGAGAGGTCATGTGATATGGAGTCCAATGGCTCTAAGAGGCCAGTTTTGGTGAAACCAGGGGATGAATCATAGACTCATAGAAAAAGAGGGTGGGAAGGGAGCTCAGGAGGTCACATCCAGTCCAACCCCCTGCTCCAAGCAGGACCAGCCCCAACTACATCATCCCAGCCAAGGCTTTGTCTGCCCGGGTCTTAAAAACCATCAATGATGGAGACTCTACCACCGCTCTGGATAACCCATTTCAGTGCTTCACCACCCTCCTAGTGAGGGAGTTTTTCCTAATATCCAACTTCAACTTCCCTTGCTGCAGCTTGAGCCCATTGCTCCTTGTGCTGTCGTCTGCCCCCACTGAGACCAGCCCAGCTCCGTCCTCTTTGCAGCCCCCCTGCAGGGAGGTGAAGGCTGCTATTCAATCCCCCTCGGTCTTCTCTAATCCAGATTAAATCAGCCCAGTTCCCTCAGCCTCTTCTCACAAGTCACATGCCCCAGTCCCTGAACCATTTTAACCACTCCTGCCTTGTAACACCACATGGCAAAAATCCCTGTTGCAGTTTCCACCCTTGTAAGCCAGGCATGACAGTGACCCCTTAGACCTAAGCATATACGCTACTGGCTGTTCGGACTTTAGGGCCTGTCCAGATAACAGAAGGAGCCTCTGCTTTGATAACAGGAAGATCCAGAGT